CTGTGGCACGGTGTTTCTGTCATTATGCTGGTGCCACCCTAAAAGAGATATCAATGAAAACGCAAACATTGACTACCTATTTTTTAATTTCTGCGATGTTTGTAACTAGGATCTATAACCGCTTCATTGGAGTCCTTTGGTGTTTTTCTCTGCTACAGTCTCGGCGTGCAAGAATTATTTTCTCTATACTCAGTGGACTTGATGCATTTATCCCTTCGTCGATGTTAGCATGCTCATGTTAGATGTAAAATTTGTTGACCTATCCACTTACTTGTAAGCCACACCATAGTTCTGAATCAAGTTTAGGATGTGGACTCTAAACATTGGTATTGCAAACCATCAGGCCGAACTATTGGGCTGTGAAGGATGGGTGTGAGGAATATATTCATTTAAATATTTGTAACAACGCTCTAGGAGCATCCGGCCCTTAGCTCAGCAAGCTCTAGTCTAGTTGCCCAAGTGGCGAAATCGCCGGCTATAAATCACTTTACTACTCAGTATTGCCGAACACATTTCGTTTTTTCCGTCAACTCTTTTTGCATTATTTTTTGTTTAGTGTCTCTGTATTTCATCTTCCCTGCCGGCGTATGAGGTAAATTGCATATTTCGGCCTTGCTAACTGTCTTTAAGGTATTTTCTGGATTCGGGTAGATTATTCTATTCATCTGGCTTGAAAGACTTGCTTTAACTTTCTACGTAGGTGGTTATACTTAATCGTCCCTATTTTGATTTGGAAACATAAACGCAAATAGATAGCTTGAGGAGGAGAAATTCTGTACCTTTTTATAGAGTCCAAATTATCAGTGGGAAGTTGTTATTCTTACTAAGATCTCCTCTCTTGCTACAGAAATATCATGATGAAATTGCGAATCTTCTTGAAATTCTTGTAATGATCTGATTTAAATTAAAATTTGGATTATATCGGTTCCACCATTCTACCGTATAAACTATGCATTTCCCCTTTTTAGAGCAATGTTCCACCGTCTTAATTCGAATATTTCCTTTATGAGAGCAACTCTGACTATAGATCATGAAATACTATCTAAAAATTTAATTGTTGCGCTGTGGTCACTTGGTTAAGTTCACTTCGTTTAAAGATTTAAAATTATGGCTGCCTTTTTTCCTATAGTCACACTTTTATTTTCCTTTTTCAATTCGGGTCATTTTATAGGCGTGACGGATTGTAATGCACTCTACCATCGCTGTTACATACGCCTACGGCATCTGGCGCGCCAATCTAAGCGAGAGGATCTTGCTGAACCGGTGGGTCGTCTGCTCACCAACATCACTGCTAACCGGCTTATCTTTCAATATGCTTTGGATCAAGTAAGTATTTTCATTTCATTCCGTATTTTCTCATGTCTTTCTTGTCTGAATGCTTATAAATGCGCGCATAGGCATTCAATTCGCTGTTATCTCTTTGAGGAAAATTCACTTTTTTCGGTGTGAGTATGTTTCGAAGCTAAGGCTTTTTTCAATTCCCTATCTGCTTGAGTGAGGCCTGTTTATGTGATTCTTTTTTCTGACACACAAACTCAAGCCAATTGGTTGAAGTATTTGAGCCTAACGAGCTCAAGACGGTGATCCCAGTTATGTTGGTTAAAGACATCTCCACATGAATCTTTCCTCATATTAGTTCGATAGTAATATAGCATCTAAATTTTTGACAAAAATATAGACATAACGTTTCAATTGTATTGTTGTTATTGTAATTCCATTACAAGTGAAAATATAAAGCAGTTTTCTTTTTTTTGAATTTTCGGATACATTTTCGTCTGGAACATATTGCCTCCACTAATGGCTCTTACAAAAGAATATTCGCATAGATTTTATTGTTTCCTCTTGTGCGTTAGTTGTGGAGATGCGACTTATAAACTGGCAAGTCTGCAGTCAGAATGAGGCTCTAAACTAAACTTACTCGAATCCACTGTTGCTTTTCTGCTTGTCTATGCAACTTGAAGATCATTGGATTTGACTCTTCTATGCGATTAGGAATCCGATTTCTAGGCGATAATCATCGTCCCTCTTATAATACTATATGATGTGAGAGCAGTTCCGCATACGGCTATTTCATAGCCGATGTTTGTCTTTTATGGTATTTTGACGCAGTAAATTTGAGCTGACAATTTAACGTCTTCTTGCATAATTGGTGCAATATCTATTTCTCTCTGTTGCGCAATATTACACATGGTTACCCTTATATATGGTTACATTTGAATTAAGGACTCAAATTTCATATGATTTTGGCATTTAGGCTTCTTTGAGAAAACCAAATTCGTAGACACGTGAGTTTTTAATTATAATTTGATCTCGCTTATATTTTGCTTTGTGGACTTGTGAATCAATAGCAAGATACAGAGCAACCATAGCAGCTTTCACGTAAAGTGATGATGATGAGGCTCATTGAAAGACCTTAAGGCTCCTGAATTTTTCATATAAGTCTTCATTCACCTTTGCTTTTTCATAACTCATTGTTTTCTTTCTATATTGTGTGTATTCTTCCTTTAAAGTGCTACGCCGCCGAAATGGACGAGTATATTGGAGAACTGGGACTGGTGAGTACGGATACCCCTCTTACATTATCTCAAATTTATTAATTACTAGTTTTTTTTACTTACTATAGCGGCAACTGAATTAGTGCATTAATAGGCATCATATAATTAAGAATGATGTGTCCCTTTGAAGTTGCTGCTAAGCTTCGATTTTAAAAGCCCTCAGCGCTATTGGCAATAAACTATCCAGAGTATTCTTATTCTATCAATCTCTCATTAAGGCTATAGAAACTTGCTGGTAGG